GAGGAGGAGGATACAATTGGAATTGACTTTCTCCCCTCTTTCCCAGTGGTACCACTCTAGAGTTCAGTGTCCCCCAATTCTTGTGTGAAGTTACCCATGAGGATGAACTTGTCTTCCTTGGCAGTGGCAGTCAGGAGTGCAGTAGAACTGTTCTTTGTTGACGTCTTCATTGTCAATTATGGGGTCGTATGCACTGATGCACCAAGCTCACCCAGGGCACCATTTTCCCTAAGGCTGGCTCTGCTGAGATGTAAAAATGAAAAGCGCAATGTAGGTATTGGATAAAATTATGTTTGTTGTTATCACCTTTGTGATTTTTTTGGTTTCATATTTGATAAATCTGCCTTAGATTTTCACATTTCCACTAATGTCATAATTCTATGCAGGTATCAGGAGCAGTTTAGTTCTTTTTTTTCATCTATTCATCGCTCTAAATGACTTGAATACTGATGTTGTAGGATCTTGACTTAGTGTACTATTCCACTGGAATGCAGGTTAGTGTCATTGATAACTGGGAATAAGTTTATATATGAAAGTATAATGTGGGCTGATCCTTTACTGTTTTGTGGTGAAGGGAGAGTTTACTTTAACGGTGGAGGTGGCATCAGAAGGTGTTTGCTCTTTCTTTTTACTTTAAAACAAAGGGAAATCTGTGCTCTACGGTGCCTAGAATATGTGGGTTTTGTAGTAATTCTAAAACTGTAGACATGGGGTATCAAATTTACCTCATGCCCTGGGTCAAATCTGGATTGGAGGGCTTCTTCACAGACTAGCTCCATCTTGAGGTACAGGGCAGTGGGACCAGTACAGACAGTAGCAGGGATGGCAGTGGCTGTGGTAGGACAGGCAAGTGGTAGTGGGACCAGTGCCTTCAGAGTAAGCAATCAAGAACTGTGCCGACAGAGCCTTGCTGCCCTCCTGTCCCTGATGACCACATCTACTGGGGTGCACAGGGACCCTGGATTCTGCAGCAGGCCATGCCCCTGCACTTCTGGTAGCCCAGCGGGCCAGATGAAGTTGCTCCATAGCCCAGATGCAGCCTGAGGGCTATGTGCTCATCACCTCTTTTGTAGACCAGTCATTTTCTGTTAGTGTTTCATCCATCCAATGACTAAAACTGGGGCCTATGCTTTGCTTCTATTGTAGAAGAGCTGGCTATGCAATCAGAAACAAGTTAGCAGTAGTTTTGTCTGCGGACTACATCTAATCTATATCTATAGCTATAGCTATGGCTATATAACCAGTAGTGGCTCCTTTGTGCTAGAGAACTTGATTTTTTTTCCTTGTCACAAACCAATGATGAATCCCAGATCCAGACACACTGGAACAGGACTGGGCAATTGGCAGCCTGGAGCAGTCAAATTGTGGCCCGCAGGGCTTGTTGGCATGACTCCACAACCCGGGCAGGGGTGAATGCTGCTGTCACCACAGCCCCTGCCCCCCAGCCAGCTGACAAATTGAGGTTGTTGGCCACTAAAAACCGGCAACAAAGGCAGCAGGGTTTGTGAGACCCCTGAGTGGCCAAGGTGGGTCATCCGGGCCCAGGGAAGCTCTGCAGCCTGGCTGTGGCCTGCAGGGCCAGAGGAGTTGGGGCACACTCTGCTTCTGCGCTGCTGGGGTGTGAGCTGAGCTGGTTCTGGGGGTGGCAAGGCGCAGTCTGGCCAACCAGGGGGCTGGGGCAGGCTGTGTGCTATGGCCAACACTGGGGACGCACTCGGTGAAAGCTCCACTTCCCGGCACTGGGAAGGACTGGGGAGGATGGGCGAGTCCCAGCCCTCACTTGGTGAGGAGCAAAGTGCCAAGCATCTGCTGGGCCTGGTGGTGAAGGGGGAAACCTTGGCAGAAAGGTTTCAAACACCAGAGGGACAAAAAGAGCATCCTGAAGTGCCCCCTCAGAGGCAGGCAGCGCTGCCTAGTTCTTCTTGTGGCAGGAGCCCAGGTGACTTAGGGGCAGGTGAGCGGGAGCCACAGTGTGATGTGCATTGCCAGGTCTTAAATATTAAATTATTGTATTTGCTCAAAAACTGTTGTACACTTGAAAATTATGTAAATATACATGCAAACGAGTATGCAGATAAGCCTTTTTTATTTACTCTATATTGCTCTTTGCAACCGACCAGGGAGTGATGCGTGGGTCCAAGTTGAAACATGTCTTTATTTCAAGAGAAGCAGTCACGGGGGAGTACTAGCAACAAGCCCAAAAGGCTCCCGGTGAGTCATGACTCAGGTTTTGCATGTGCTACCTCCATTAGCTGCCTTAAAAAATACTGTACATTTTGAACACTTTTCCTATTATTGATTGTACATCGTAAAAAGGTTGAAAAGACAGTGTAAATTACCAGACACTCGGCAACGCTGGCTGTGCCCAGCACCACCCGCTAGAGGGCGCCGAGCTGCCACGTTCACAGTTAACGGCTCCCCCAGCCCTCCAACGACGGTGTACTCTGCTGCGCATGCGCTTAACGCCCCGTCAGGCGGGAGAAGAGTGGAAGGAGGGCGCGTGCGCAGGTGACGCTCGGCCGCCGGCGTGGGGGGAGGGATTCTTGTGTTCAGAAGAGGCCGGCCGAAGGGGGTGGGCGCATGCGCAGGCGGCGTCCTGGCGTCGAGGCAGGGCTGTGGGTGCTGCGCATGCGCGCGGGTGGGAAGGCGGGAGCCGAGTTCAGAGCGAGGCGTCTTGGGCGCGCCTGCGCAGCGGCTGGCGGCGTGCGCGAGGCCGGCCCCGCCTCCACCCTTTGAGCGATGGCGACCCGGGAGGGTAAGTGGGGAAGTGAGGTGGGATGGGGGAGGGTATGGGGTCTCGGGCTGAGGGGGGCCATTGGCCAGGAGCTGACGCGGCGGTTGGGCCGGCAGTGGCGGAGGAGCCGGCGGAGGAGCGGGTGATCGGCGAGGAGTACCGCGTGTGGAAGAAGAACACGCCTTTCCTCTACGACCTGGTCATGACCCACGCGCTGGAGTGGCCCAGCCTCACCGTGCAGTGGCTGCCTGACGTCACCAGGTGAGGCGGGGCCCTTCTCCCCAGCCCCGGGCGCTAGAGGCAGGGCCGCAATTAGCGGTCCTGTCCCTGAGCGTTCTAGGTCAGTTAACGGCCTCGCCTGGGAGCGTTCCAGTGGGGGCCCCTCGGCCCCGCCCTGTTCCACATGGGGCTGCTTTCTCCTGTGCAGGAGGCAAGAGGTGCCCCAGGGCAGTCTGTGACAGATGTTCCATGGCAGGTGTGCTGTGACACGGATGCTGAAGCCTGCTGGCCTGTCATCCTAATGAGGGGGCTTTGGCTCCTTGCAGGTGTCTGTCAGGAAGTTGGGGCGCTCCTGAAAGTGCCTGGCAACCCTAGCTGCCCCATGCCTGCCACACCTGGGCAGCCTCCCTTACTTTGGGGAGGGGACAGGAGGGAATGGCAGCCCAGCTGTTCAGACAGGGGGTGGATCTTGGAGCAGCTGATGGGGCAAGGGGAGGGTGTGGGACTCATGTTGCCATGCACCTGCCAAAGTGGTTGCCCTCCCCTGCTGTGATAGAGGATGCTCGTCTCTGTGCCGTTTTCTCTAATGGTTGTACATTTTGGTGTTCCAAGTAGCATCTTAAAAAAGATACCTACTGGGTGTCAGAACAAAGTCAAAGGCTGGTGTGTGTATGTATATATATATATATATATATATATATATACACATATTTGTAGATCCTCATGTGTTTTACAGTACAACCGGGGTGTGGCCATTGGAGAATTGGCACGGGTTTGTTTTTCCTCTAAAATCATAGTTTGTGTAAATGATGGCGTTACGTATATTGTTATTGTAGCATGTGAAAGTATTTGGGCTTGCAAGGACTTGAGAATAGGAGGCTGGGAAGGGGAGAGAAAGGTTAACTAAGGCCCTTGTGTGAAATGCTTCTGCTTACCTCGCATATTGATGGCTTGGCTTTTTTGAAATAGCTGGTTTTAATTGTATAGCTAGTGTCACAATATGTAAGTCACTTAAAACCAACATGGTCCCTTTTGAGTTTCACCTGCCATGATGGGAGGCTTATTCATACAGTGGTGGTGAGAGCACTGGATGCGGTATAGCAATAGGATTGCGAACTGTTAGGGTTTTTTTTTTTCTCTAGAAGCTTTGTTTGGTCTGTACTGGGCCTTTGCTTTCTTGAACACAGAAATTGCTTTGAGTCTTAATGCGTTGCCTTCTTTCACAGTTTATTAACTGTCTTTTGCTACTGAAGAAACAATAGTCTAGAAGTCTCCTGATTCCATTTTTAAGTTACAGTATAAAAGATCTTTTTGTGCAAATAAAAGTCATAATTCTGCTGTTCACATAGTAATGAAAAACATTATAAAATGATGTTGGCATTGTCGTTCCAATTTTGGCAAAGACACATCTGTCATGTCTACAGTGCTGTGAACCTTTGCAGTTCAGCTTAAGCATTTATACTAGTATTCCTAATATGGCAGAAAAAAAAGTACTCTTTCAATTAATCTCTGGTCTCCTAGACCAATTGGGTATCACGGGCAAACTTTGTGTCAAATGACTGCTAGCAAAAAAAAATGTAAGTTTTAAAAAAACCTGAGCTCTTTGACTATTTTGTATGACTATTGTTTTATCGAGCAGGCCAGAAGGAAAAGACCATGCCCTTCACTGGCTAGTGCTGGGAACACACACCTCAGATGAGCAGAACCATTTGGTGGTTGCAAGAGTCCAGATTCCTAATGATGATCAGTTTGATGTCTCTCAGTATGATAGTGAGAAGGGAGGTAGGTTTTGCAGGCATTTTCAGTGTATGTTCATCTAGCCACAGTGATAAACAATGCATATCTTATTTAATTACATTCTTACTTGAAATATTTTTTTTAATTAAATGCCTGGTTTTAACATATGCAACTTGTTTACTAGCATACACTATACAGAGTAGTTGAGTGCTGAAAAATCTTACTGTAAATGGCTTTCATGTCTAGTATTAAGTTATACAATTCATGTCTAGTATTAACCTAAACAAAGAGTACATTTTGCAGAAATGTCTTGCAAGACCTAAGTATTAATTATATTGATAACAAGGTTTGGTAGCTTGAGAATTATTTAAATAAGGTTTTTTCACTGGGTCTATCATCTGGTAGGCTAACCTGGTACACAGCTAGCTTGGGCAAGAGATTTCCTGTTTTTCAGGGGTCAATTACTGCCTTTAATATTCCTTGCTTTTATTACATTCAGCTGAAAAGTTTCATTACTTTCAAGAGGTAGATGTTTTAAAGAGTCTGTTGTGCTTGGTGTGCTAATATAAACCTCATGCAAGATTAAACATCACAAAAACCTAGAGAACATGGGTTTAGTATATCAGAATAATTTATGATGTGACTAATGAACTTTGTTATGAAAAACATCTAGAATTTGGCGGTTTTGGATCAGTAACAGGCAAAATTGAAACTGAAATAAAGATTAACCATGAAGGTGAAGTAAATCGTGCTCGCTACATGCCCCAGAACCCATGCATCATTGCTACAAAAACACCAACTGCAGATGTGCTGGTCTTTGATTATACTAAACATCCCTCTAAGCCAGGTGAGTTGGCATATTTGAATCAATACTTGTTGTCTCTTCCAGGATTGAAGTGGAAATCTGATTTTGATAGCCATCAGGTTGATTGTATTTTGATACTAAACCAGAAAGGTCAGATTCTAAAAGGCTTTCAGGCTCTAAATACTTTTTTGAGGATCTGGACCTGCAGGTATATCTGCAAGATGCAAGACAGTGCTGTGCGAAGATATCCAGAGTTAGCTCTACGCTTGATAGCTCTAGGACTAAGAGCTATATATTTGCATTAGTGTGGTATGGTAGCTGGGCTAATTCAGTCATATTCCTGAGCGGCATTTCTTTGTGCTCTGTAAACTCTGTAGTGCAAGCTTTTGAGTTCAGAGCTAGTTAGTGTGAGTCCAGTGCCAAGCTAATGTTTCTTTGTTACACTGCGGGGAATTATGCAATTATGTGCCCATGCAGTTTTGTGCATAAAACATACGACTACACATAATTCTGCATAACTTAACTTGGGCCGGCTCTGTGCTTCCACCTCTGCAGGGCTCCTGGGACTGCCATGTGGAGGCACTAAGCATTGTAGCACTTGACTAGACAGCTCCTGCCTGTGGTGGTTTGTGGATGGGTGTGGCCCCTCCCCATGGTGCACAGCCTCTGCAGCAGCAGGTGGTGGGTCCTTGGGGTACTCATGCCCATGGCAGACAGGGTCCCATCCCCCCCGAATCCCCCCCCAGCAGCACATGGCTCTGGCTGAGTCCTGGGGTCTGCATATGGCATGGAGCCAACCCAGCTAGCCCACTGACATGTACCTTTGACCTGGGCAGGCTGACTCCGTGCCAGCCTGGGCTCGTGGCACTGCAGGCAGGAACTGTGTGCTGTTGGGCCAGGACAGCCAGCTCCGTGCCTCCACATGGCCATCTAGCACTCCAGTGGGAAGCTGCATGTGGCGACATGGAGCCCACCCAGCCCAACGGTGTGCAGCTGCTGCCTGTGGTGCCACAAGCCCCGTGTGCTGGCACAGAGCCAGCCCAGTTTGGTCTGAAGGTGCCGGCAGGCTAGGCTGACTCCCTGCTGCCATGTGCAACTTTTAGGACTCAGTGCATCACTTTGAATTTTTCTATGCATAATTCCCTGGGGTGTACTTTGTAACTTCCAGTTCTGAAGCTAGTATATGCGGAGCATATTTTCATACTCTGTACAGTTCTGTTTTTTATAGATACTCTGAGTTTCCTGGGGTATTTGATTCCTGTGTTGGTGTGCTAATTTAGAAGTTATTGACTTAGCTGGGAATTAATCTTAGGTTTGTCTAGGTAATACATGTTTAAAGTAGTGAAACAAACAAACTTGCAGCTGTAAATAACTCATGTGGACTGACCTGTAACTATCATGCTAAAAAAGCAAAAATGTACTTTTCTTGCAGTTCCTAATAGCAAAACAATAAGTGCTCTGACTGTAATGCAGAAATAGCACCGCCAGATAAATGTAAAGTTTGACAAGCCGAATACTAGTGAAATAATAGAACCTCTTTCCTAGACCCAAGTGGAGAGTGTAATCCTGACCTGAGGTTAAGGGGACATCAGAAAGAAGGATACGGCTTATCGTGGAACTCCAATTTGAGTGGGCACCTTCTCAGTGCATCTGATGACCATGTAAGAAACTAACTTCTTTTTTTTTCAATGGAATACTAAAGAACATTGGTAGTTTACTTCCTGAGACTATCTTTTCTTTCCCAGTAGCTTAGTTCAGTTGACTTTCAGAATGCCTTAGTGTTTAAAATGTCGCATATCTTGGAAATCTATTTTTTTAGTCTACATTTTTATCTTAAAGGAGTCAGCTTCTTTATAGCTAGTTAATATGTACCCTGCAATAGCCAGAGTGGTATTCAATAGTGTTGTGGCTTTCCCCCAAAAAAGCTACTAAACACGCTTGCTCCTATACTGAAGGCTAAAGACGAACAGCAAAAATAATGTAATCTAGATGGGGTTAAATTCATGGGTTACTGTTTCCAAAAACAATATACTTTCTTCTCACCCCCTGTTACTGCCTTTTGCAGCAAATTTGGGTTTCTTGAGGAGTGGAGGCTGGACTACTTGGGTTGGAGGCCCTAGTGGAAATTGTCATATGCACTCTTTCTTTTAACAGTTTTGATAGCAGTGAAAAAGAGCTTGACTCTTGCTTTCTTTTCACTTTCTTGCTTTTTTTTTTAGCAACACAAGGATTTTATTGAGTTAAATGGTGACTGCAAACCTAACAACCCAATGTAATTGATTCTAAAACCTGAATCTTGAAGCTGTTGTTTGTTTTGAAAAACTACATAGTCTAGTTGTTCCTATTTACATTGTCAGAAAGGGACTCCAAGTCTGTGTGAATGACATTATGTGCTAAAATGTGAATCTTGTCTTCAGACTGTCTGCTTATGGGATATAAGTGCAGGACCAACGGAAGGCAAAGTTGTTGATGCAAAAGCAGTCTTTACCGGACATTCTGCGGTAGTAGAAGATGTGGCATGGCATCTGCTCCATGAATCTTTATTTGGATCTGTTGCTGATGATCAGAAACTTATGATGTAAGTGGAAAAAGAAGAATAACTGAACAATTCTGTGCAATTATTAGTGCCTTTATACAAATGCACTAACCTAGGCAAGGTGTTCAAAATTTTCTGGTATTTGTAAGAGAGAAAGCCACATACAGGCTATACCTCTAGATGGAAGGAGATGAAATGACCTGCATATGAAGCCAAGTTTGTTTATGTGTAACTTAAACCATTGTATTGCTGCTAAGCTTTCTGGGCTTGCATTTTTTTTTTGGTTTTAAAATTATTATTCTTCCTTTACCTGAGGAAGACAAGCCATATTTAAAATAACATGATTTGTAAACTAATGTCTAAGACCCCTTCTTAACATCTTATTAAAACAAACTAGTAAATAACATTGGCTCAGATGAACTGACAGTTAAAGATTTGTTATTTCCTTGCACTTTTTCAGAGATTGATCAAATTATGGTTTCTTTAACAAAGAATTGACAGACTTTCCCTCTAAAAATGAACCAATAAAAGTATAGAAAGTATACCCTGTATGACTTTCTGAAAGGTGGAATATCTGTCAGCTTTGAGTTGGAAGGAATTATGCTCGTATGAAATTGAACTCAACAAAAAGTATATGTGAGACTCTTCAGACAGAAATAAATATTTTACTTAAAGTTACTTTGGGACCTAAATTAAAACATTTGTGGTAGTTGTTTTACATGATCACTAAGTCTCTGACCAGTGTTCTTATACCACTTAAACCGAGTTGTATCAAGAACAGACTTCTTGCTGCAAAAATTGGCTCTGCCTAGGGATGTTTATAAGACATGCTTCCCCCATCTGATTATTGTCTCTCTTTCTATATGCTTCCCTCTTTCCCACCCCTTCATCCAAAAAAAGTTGGGACACGAGGTCCAATACTACATCCAAGCCAAGTCATTCTGTAGATGCCCATACTGCTGAGGTCAACTGCCTGTCCTTCAATCCTTACAGCGAGTTCATTCTAGCAACGGGTTCTGCTGACAAGGTTTTTTGCTTATGTATATTTTAACATACTTACAATATATTCTCATTTAAAATTAGGCATCACTTTGGACAGTAACTTCAGTGGTTGTTAGAGTAAATTTTTTCTGTTTTTTCCCTTTCAGACTGTTGCCTTGTGGGATCTACGAAACCTTAAATTAAAACTCCACTCTTTTGAGTCTCATAAAGATGAAATCTTTCAGGTGGGTTAAAATTAAAAACCAGTGATATTTTAAAATAAGATGTATAATGGTTAGAAAATTATTTTGAATTATATTTGAGTGTAATACATTTGGTTGAGGTCTTTTGAAGAACTAGTTGCTGAACTAATAAGCATAAATCTTAATTTGAACATATTCTGAGTAGAGGTTTTCTTTTCTAGTGTATCCATGAAGCAGACCATTTTTTGTTTTTTTTAGAAGCAAACACAAATTGGCATGTGTTTGATTTGTATGCTGACCTTAAAGGCTTACAATAAAAAAAAACCTTAAGAAAATGCAAAATATTTTAAATAAGTTAGCAAACAATGGGGAAATTCTTCTGGATGCTTTCTGCATATGGTTAGAATAAAATAAACAGTCCAAGTAGTACTCTTCTCAAAATATCTTCAGATGAACTGAAGAAAAGTATTTAGAGAGAGAAAGAAAGAAAGAAACAAAGCTGTGGAAAAACGACATGACCTACCCGTGTTGATCTTTCTGTGCACAATAACTTCAAGACAGTATGGGATAATTCCAGTTGAAGAACCTCAGAGATTGCTATAAATAGGGGATAGCTGTGGGTGAACCTTATCATTGATCCTAAACTTTTAAGGCTTGATACCCTATTTGCTTGCATACCATATGCACCCTTTTCCCAAAAAGCAGCCCTTCAGAATGGGGGTGCATGTCTTAAGCAGGGAAGGTGATTTTCTGCACTGGAATACAAGCATTTAATGGGTGCTGTTACATGGCTTCTCACTGTAGGAGTGAGGGGGAACTTGCATCCTTCAGGGTCACCTTTAGGGCTCTGCTACATGTTCAGATTAAAGCTGGATAGAAATCAGCTATAAAGTTGTTACACATTTACAAGCACGAACTTTGTAGCTGGTTGACACTTTGTAGCTCAGTAGTCTTTTTATGGTGAGAGTTACTTTGCATATGTGGCCTGTCTAAATTTTATTGCAGGATTGATTGCAATAATATAGGCCTCTGCTACACACTGCATTAGTTTTAACCCTGTCACAGTAGCTGAGCAGTAGAAATGTAGTTCTGAAGCTGCAGGTAGAGACTGTGTGATGCTGAGAAGTGAATTTGTCAATCCTGAGTTAAGATACATGGATTTTAAAAGGAGAGTTTTGATTCAAGTATACTGGTAGTGTACTCTCAGGAGTGACAGTAATGTACTAACAAAAGGCAGTTCTTCTGCCAAACATTGCCTTAAAAGTAAGTGACCTTTTCAGTGAGTGTAGATGGTGGGTAATCAAGCAGACATGTTTTTGCTTTTGTAGAAAATAAAACCAATAAGACTTTGATACAACATGGTGTTAGAGAGGTTTAATTGTGTATTTCTTGTGGTTGGTTAATTTGTGTGTGGAAATGGAAGACCTCAAAAGCTGCCTCTGAATTGGAAATTGCCCTAAATGGTGGTGGTGGGTGGGTGGGGGAAGCAGTGAAGTGGAAGTAATGATATATTTTGAGTTTTCATCAGTTCCTTGGCTGCTTAGCAACAGCAGTATTGGTCAAATCTAGAATGACTAATAAAATACAGAATTTGTACTGAAAGTCAGTAATGTTGCAATCCTATTTTCAAGAGGTACTGTCTCCCAATAGGTTCACTGGTCTCCTCATAATGAAACAATTCTTGCTTCCAGTGGTACTGATCGTCGGCTTAATGTATGGGATCTAAGGTGAACAATGATTCCTTCCTTTATTTAAGATCTGTAGTCAAGTTCAGGTAGCAGATAAGAATTTATTATATTCATTCAGCCTTACTCTTTGTATTTTGGAGTAATTTAAACATACGTCTGACTTACGTTTTTGTCGAACTAGTAAACATTATGCCAGAATGTCTTTTTACTAAGCTCTCAGTTATAAGCTTGCTTTCTGAACAATTATTATTTTTCTGTTTTCATTAGTAATAAGATAACTTTTCATAGAGTTGGAAGAGACCTCAGTGGGCCATCTAGTCCGCTTTGTCTTATGGGATCTCTTGGTTCTGCTACTTAGTCATACTGAAGTCAGATCCTCTTTTCAGTAATTGTAGCAGCAAAGAATTGATGCCTTGCACCTGAGGAATAAAACTAAGGGCAGGGAACAAACAGCAGCAGGAGGAATTGGAAACAAATTGATGTAAATGTCCCTAATTGAAGAAGGAAACATAAAAGGACTAATCTTAACTTTACATTGCTTACAAAATGACTTTTTTGTTGCTGTTTTGTTAAGTCATTTCCTACCCTCTCCCCTTTTTTATCTCAAATTCCTAGATTTAATTTTAAATATATTCCTGTTACAGTAAAATTGGAGAAGAGCAGTCTGCAGAGGATGCTGAAGATGGGCCTCCTGAACTTTTGGTATGTGTATGGTGTGTTTAGTTTGGAGATTTTTAGATCTTAGGAAGCATCACTTTTATCTATTTATCATTTCATGTTGTTACAGTAAACCACACAATAGCAGAACAGATGACCTTCCTCCCCTGTGTGCCCCTCCCCTCCCATTTCATGTGTCTTAGTAGCTGTTACCAGATTGGTAAAGCTGTGGTTCCTGATGTTCCTTGGGGATAAAGTGTTCTGCAAAGACTGCTCTAGCAGATCCATTGTGTTAACCACTCAAGATCAGATGATGTGTAAAAAGTATAGCTGTGGATTAGAACACAATGCAGAATTCAGTGTAACCTGAAAAATATTTTTTATTTATATTCAGGTTCTCCAGCAAATGGTAAAACTCCATTTTGTGTGCAACTGTGTGAGAACAGTTAGTACTGCCTGGCTTCTATGGCCAGTGATACCTCTTAATCTTGTTTCGATGTAAAATATAACACACTGGAGCTATTTCAAAAGACAGGAAGCTGCCTATGTGTACCCATCATCATTGTATGTGCGTTGATAAACTATTGATAAATGTTCGGCTGCGAGCAGAAGTACTGTTTTAGATGATGCCATCAACAGTCCAAATGAGAAATGAATGGATAGTTATTTTTGGTGTATGTGACCAAATTTTCTTCCTAAAGCTGCATCTTAAAACTCTATTTTGGTTACATCTTATTCTTGCATTTAATGTTTTTGCCAGTCAACTGAATTTAAAGTTTCAAATAATTTCTAGACAGTTGTCTGAAATGTGAATTACTGAAGCTAAGATTTTTCAACAGTTCATTCATGGAGGACACACTGCCAAGATTTCAGATTTTAGTTGGAATCCTAATGAACCTTGGGTAATTTGCTCTGTATCTGAGGATAACATAATGCAAGTATGGCAAATGGTGAGTACCAACATTTTAAACTTCTTGTGTGTTTAGATTTAGATGACTGAAAAGCAAGTCACACTCTTTTTAAGATGCAGGCTGTGTTGTGTCACTGGAAAGGTAATCTTGCCATTACAGGAGGGCTGACTTATGGAGAATGAAGCTGAAAAATCTTAAACTTCACTGAGTATTTTTATTAAGGACAAATTAGGCTAGAAATGACTAATCCCTCCATTCTTGGAGCATATTGTCTGATTCTGTGTTATCTTATTTTTGGTATCTTTAAGAATGGGCATCAATGTTTTGGATTAAAATTTGCTGCATTAACCAGAATTTAAGTTTTACTTTTTAAAAACTGTAGAACTTCTGGCTGCATCCTTAGCTAATAACTGCAGATTTGGACAGTTCTGTGAGATGTGCTGATATGTTAATCCTGTCTAGTAATAAAAGACAACCAGCATCCTACAGCTAATCTTATGAGTCCCTGTATAAGCAGGACAGTTCATATTTGATCTTGACAATCGCATAATGTGATCTTAGCTAGAAGATGACAGCCATTTTAAATGACAACTAAATGCAGATACAGATCATCTATTTATCCTTTTCATTTACTTAAGTTATACCATATATTTTGGAAGTGGCAACTTCCGAAAGGGCAGCGTCTGAAACTATATATGAGTCTTGGACCAAAAGTGTAGGATAAAGAGTTTAAATTGGTTAGGATTATGTATGCTAGATGAATAATCTGATTTTGGTAAATAATGCTCTAATTAGTATTGGTGGTTAGGTTAACCATTTCACAAAGTCTTTAAAGCTAGCTGTTTGCCATTTGTAAAGGAAGAAGGATGGGTGTTTTGGGGTTTTTAAGGTGGGGATTATTTCTGAATCTTTCTGTCTGTAGCTGTATTGTCTCTAAGTTTAGAAAACCATTAATCAGATGCGCACACTACTTTTCTGAACTTGTAATAAACTATTTTGTGTCTTTAGGCTGAAAACATATACAATGATGAAGAAACAGACATAGCAGCAGCAGAACTGGAGGGCCAAGGAACGTAATATTTTTTGATAAGGAAAAATAATATGGGGTGTTTGTGAAGGGGCTAATATATTAATATAAGTTTTTTACTACTATACTCATTCAGTATATTCTCAGTTGAATGTAATTCTTGTATTGGTGCTTATTTGTTGTTAAGCACATAATGCTTGTATAGTTAATGCAATGGGAACTCCCTGATTATTTTGGCACTTTGAAGTGAGTTACTGCATAATGTACAGCTTAGTTACTAGGGGAAATAGGAATGACTTAATATCAACACGTATATTTTTTAAAAAGAAGCTTGCAGGTCCCTGTAAATAAGACAGCTTAAAAATCCTCTTCCCACAGTGTAAGTACGAAAGAAGTTTTAAGATGTAAAAATGAGATTTTTCACTTTTACAGATTGCTTCCTGATTGGCTTTGCATAAAAAAATAAAACTTTGAAGCAAAAGTGTGGTGTTTTGATGTGACAGTGCATCCTTCTGGTTATCCTTTTGCATATGTTTAAGAATGTAGAATGCTGTATGGGCAGGGACGTGATTATTTGCTGCATGATGATATAGTACTGTCATCTGGGGGGAGAGAGAGTAAACTAGAGATCTTGGAATGGAAGTTCCAAGAGAGGGCATCCAGCAGTGTGGGGTGGAGAGAGAAAAGAAATGAGAAGGAATGGGGAGGGAGAAAAGGATAAAAAAAGGAAAAAAGAGAAGAGAGAGGAAAAATAAAGGAGTGGGGGGTGGAGGCTAGGTCGCCTGGGTGAATATGCTAATACAGCATATTCACATTCTGAATATGCTGTATTCAAGATTAGTCCTTTGCCATAGCCTCTAATTCAGTTTTGTAATCAATGCCTAAAACAAGCCCAATTTTTGCCTTGAACAGTCTGCTGCAGCAGGGGCAAGGAAGCGATGAGGACTGGGTATGAGAAGTTTTTGTTTTCCTGGCCAGGAATGGAAGTAGGCAAGTTCTAACTGGCAGAAGGCATGCCAGATATGGAACTGGAGATACCCACCTATAAAATGAATGGCTTGAAACAACATTTTGTTTGAGGGAAGATGTGCTATTTGTTTCCCTGTTCATCCTTCAAGTCCTGATAATCAAGTACCAAAAAGTGGTTGTTTCTTCTTTCAGAGGGGGAAGGAAGCAGGCAACTCACCCAGCTCCTATTTAGAATAGTGTAATTGTCCAAAAGTTAAACATGATATCTTTTTATGAATGCAAGATGTGGTAACAGAACATTCTTAACATTTTCAAAAGGCCAACAAAAACAAAGGCAAAAGTTTCCCTTATTGTAGTGAAGTGTTGCAAAACAAATTGAAACAACCTTGAGTCTTAAGTGGAGAAACTAAGATTTGAGACCTGGAGTCCCTTTTAAAATAGAGACCAAAATAATTTAATTGAAATCTGTTAAGATTTGGTAAGTATCAAATCTTATTCCAGTAAAGTTAAGCTTTAATGGGTAGGGGGACCTCCCTCATCTAAAAATAGGATTTATTTCTATTACATGAATATCCTTTCACAGAAGATATTTCTATAGTTGGGAGCAGTATTTAACTTGTGAAACTAAATACTTCAAATAACATGTTGCATCTGACTTGATGATATGGACATGAAGGTCATGCTTTTACTTTTGTAGTCAAGTAATATTCTGAATATGCTGTATTCAAGATTAGTCCTTTGCCATAGGCTCTAATTCAGTTTTGTAATCAATGCCTAAAACAAGTTGGTTTTATAATATAACCGCACAAATCTTAGGGGGCTGTGATTTTCTTTTTTAAACGGTGAACTGGGAAATTCTGTTTTACTTTACAGCATGAAATTTTGACCTACTTTCATTATTTCATATGTTGGAGACCCAGTTTAAAAACAATCTTAAATTATTTAATCAGAGACATGACATTTACTACAAAGTAAACAAACTTTCCCCTCTAATAAAAGTGGAGTAGACGTACAGTTTGGTTTTCCTGTAGTGTAACTTTTTCAGGATAAAACTACCTTGCAGAGGGTGACCAACTATGTCCTGCTGCTGATTGCATTGTCACCTGGGGCCTGGAGCACTGGATTTTGTGGTAGGCTTTGCATCCTAACGTCCAGTGACGTATCAGTAGCCTGGTCGGCCAAATTAGACATCCTGGCACTAACTTACAGTCTATCCCACTGATTTGTGGCAATTGTCAGAATGTAAGTAAGTAGGGTTCTTCAAGAAAGTCTTATTGAGACTGTGTACAGAGCTTCTGTTGTAACCAACATTTGCTAAAGAACAGACTGTTTTACCCCAACACAGAATGAAGCAGTCTAACAATGTATTGGTCACACATTTTGCTAATTTATGCCAGAATACTGCGTGGAGTGGAATAAGTGACTGTGTGTACCTGGCAACTGTGAAAGGCACTGGAATGTCTGGGGATCTTAAGGGTATGGACACATTAACTTACCACAAAATAACAAGGGATTTTGTTGTGCATCAGCTGTGCTGTGGTAACTTCTTATGTGCATACTCTGCCCTGTAACAAGCGGAAGCTAATCTTTCAGTAATTTAATACCTGCCCAATGACAGAGGGCTAGAAGTGTACAGAGTGAATGTCTGTTTCTAAGACTTAAAAATGAACAGAATGACCATGCAGTGTTATGGAGTCCTAGAATGTGGGACAACTGAAGTTGCAGTAAAACCTAATCAGACAGAAGTCAAGAAGCTTCTAATGCTGCTTTGGGTTTCTTTGTTGCATAGCTATGTAAAGCCATGTCGCCAGCAGCTTTTATTCATTCCTTCAAATACATCGTTGGTGTTAAAGGTACTTCTCATTGGACAGAAAACAAGGTACGCTTGTTACAGGCAGGATTAACTTGCTGGTGTTTCCCTGTTCAGCCCCACAGCCTAAATAAACTGCTCCAGCACGTGAAAGGTAACATCAAATGATGTAGAAAGAGAATGGTGGGATATAGGATAAGCAACTGAATACAAAGCTAACAGTCACTTGCTAATAAAAGAAATAAAATCTCTTCATGCAAACAGAACAATTGGAAAACAATGCATCAATTACAGTAAATTTCCAAATTTAAGATCAGGTAAGAATGATGAACAAGGATTACTCCCCAGCCCTATTGGGCATGTGATAGAAATAGATAACTTGTCAGTTACGTACTAGAGAAATGGAGAAATGACAAGTTTTCAAGAGCTGTAGTGGGTGAAGGTGGGTTTACTTGGACCATATATGCCTTCTCATCCCTAAGCAGACTGCACTACCAATGCAGAGAATTTTGCAGTTGAATCCTTTGTGTTTTGCATTCTCTGAATATACTTTGCATGTAAAACGTGATGAAAGAGCCTATGTGTTCTGATGTCTAAATCCAAACTTAAACAAATCAATGGTTTGTATTTTGAAAGGTGCTGAGTTGTAGATCTGGCCAGCAGTGCTGTGTCACATTAGCCTCACAGGACTCCCCACAGGTTTGGAAATCTGGCAGGGAAAGGAGTGGTGCTGCCACGTTTCTGAATGCATGGGGAGCCCTGGGGGCTGGATAGTGCAGCCCTGCCTTGGCCTGGGGTCACTACATGGGCAGATCCAGATATGTGGGGTCAGGATGGTTGTGCAGCCTCATGCAGTAGGGGGTTGGTCTGGTGTATGGCTGGACCTGGGTGTGTGAGATTGTGTCTGAGGATCTGTGGGATCTGATCCACAGTCTGATCCCACTCATCCAGGCCATAGAGTGGAAGATTGAGCATCACTGGTTTGGATCAACAGTGAAGAAGGCTGAGACCAATGTAGCTGCAGAAATGAGGCAGCAGTTAGTTTATTAAATCTTCAGCAAATGCCATTGGGGCAGCTGCACAGAATAAGTAGGCTGGGTTTTGCTGCTGCTGCTGAGGTTACTAACATGGGCTGTAACAAGTGGCACCAATAGTATCTCAGAGTCCTTTGTAGCTTTCTGTCTCCCAATGTGAAGTGCAACAGTTGGAGAGGAATACTAGGAATTTAATTTCTGTAGGTCAAGTGAAAAAAGCCCAAAGATTCACTTAGCAACTACTCCCAAGGACAGCAGCATGGATGCCTCCTATCTTTCTCTCTAACTTTGCCAGATGGCAACAATCTAGCCATCTTCCCATCATGATGTGCCCTTAACTGCAATTACCCTGCCACGTCAACAAGCAGCTGCAAATTTTGCTGTGGCAGACTGAACCAAAGGCCTGAAATGACCATTTTGGTTGCATGGTTGACAGATCATTGCAGCCTACTCTCAATACCAGATGTGCACTTAAAGGTGAAGCTAGCCAGGTGATGAATGAGGATGGTTTGCCTGGGACCATGTCCAGTATATGACCCACTGATTCCAGATATGGGAAACAAGTGTGGAGAGCCCTGGGCTGCAGATGAGATGGCCAGAAGTTGAGGGAGAACTTGAGGGTGAAGAAGGCCACTTTCCTGGAAGCCTGGGTGGAGCCAGCCACAGAGCTGCACATACACATCACCAACATGAGGCTCAGAAGCATGTGGCACCAGCTTAAAGGAACCTTGGCAACCCCAACAGCTCAGTCCATTGCCAGTTAGCCATGAGGAAATCCACTCCTGGTGTTCCTGTTCATAAGGCTTACAGCAATGTAAAAAAGTACTTTCCCTGCCTATAAGATCATAAGTCTAAGGATGGGTATGCCCCAAATGTGTCCCCTCTCCCTCTAATGTTGCATGCTAGGGTCTGCTGGCTAGCTTGGACAAGGATGCTGATCCTGAAAGGCAAGAAACATAATGAGCAGCCTGTTGTTTCAATGGTCTCAGAGATTAAGCCTTAATCTCCCTACAGTTTGTAGGAAGTTATCTCGGGAGCCCCTGACAATGGTAAATCTAACACCTAGGGTTGACTGGCTAGCCTTCTTTTTGAAAGGGACTCCTTAATTGCACCACAGGAGCTCATGATTTGCAAGGGGGATCTGGTGGTGTTAATACTGGCTTTGGCATTCATCCTTGTGCTGGGGGTGGAGGAAGAGGATGTGGACATATCAGGGGTATGTATCTATGTGAACAGGCAAGCCTGCTTTAATTTATCTTTGTGGTTCCAGTGGCAATGGAAATTCTGTTTCTTGCTCTTTGCCAGTAGCCCTAGAGGTGCATTGCTTTAACACAACTCGAGCGTAAACTCTGCCTTGTCAGTGTTCTGTTTATACATGAACTGTAGCCTATCACAGGGCTGCTGGCAGGCAGCATGTTGAAGTTGACTGGAGTCACAAAGATCCTTGCTTGAACCAAGTAGTATTGCTGTGATGGAGGTTGATAACCTCCACACCCACCTCTTGGCCATTGAGCTCTTCTTAAGATAAGGAGCAGCTTATGGAGGGAATGTTTACTTACGTCTGCCCAAGTGGCAGTCCCAAGACACAACATAAAAATGGTTTGTTGCATTTTTGGATACCCTCTTTTCCTGCATCTTGATCCACCAGGTTGATATGGGGCAAGCCAGCTAAGCCTTAGTCTCTGGTCAAATTCCTGGGCTTCTGGCTGGCAAAGCTATGACTCTGAAAACTCTTCAACTTCCAAGCTTAATATGTTGCTGACCCTGGGCATAGAGAACTGCTTCCAAATCAGATATAGACAGTAGCTTGATGCTGACAAGATCCTGTTCAGCTCAAGTATGGAGCTGTGGCACAACTAGCAACAGAGCAGTGGTTGATGCACCTTATCTACTTGTGCAAGGCTCCAGTGGCTCTTTTGCAACCAAATGCAATGGTTTCACAGACATTCAGGTTCCTGCGACTCAAAATTGAAACTTTCCAGACTTTTGCCTCCAACCATACCACAAGAGGGTCTGGGAGCTTCTGCTTGGGTCCTTTCTTGAGCAATGAGCAACCATAATCATTTTGGGGTTGTAGAGCAATAATAGTGGTCAGAAGGCTAAGCTGAGGGGTTTGGTCTAAGAAGCTGCAAAGCAGTGTGGCAAAGGCAGGTGATCTCATCTAAACAAAACCCAAATCTCATGCAGTCTGATGTTGCCATTTGCTCCCAAGATGAACTGGTAGCAATTTAATGTTTATTTTTAATTGTGACAGCATGACTTTTGATAAACTAGCTTGGCCATGGACACAGAAGCAAATTAAAAATAACCCTAAAAAAATGCAACTCTGCTCTTAACAGAAACCATAAGGCATCTATGGCAGAGGGAAGAAACTGAAATTTGCTCGAGTCTACTAGGGATATGTAAATCCCTAAGGAACACCTACCTATTTGATCAAAAGCAGGATTTAAAAAATGAGGGGAAAAAAAACATGATCATTTCAGGTCATGCTATAGTTCTGACTTGTTTGTGGTACATATTGTACAATAATTTCATCCAAATATAGAAATATTTTAACAATTTTTAGCCGTTACCTGCAGAAGACTCCATGAGACCAAGATATGCTAGCCTGCGACTTTGATTCTTCATTTTTTTGAAATAGAGAGCATGGGAATTTTGAAGATGACTAACTCAAAGGAACTGGCCTCTGTTCTTTTCACTAGAACAGTTCAAGCTTCCCGCTGTAGGAAAGAACTCTTGAACATGTACTGTATGCTGTTCAGAAAATGCATAATGCTTGTGCCTGGAACAAAACATTTGAGGTGCTGGTGCAGCAGAAGCAGCTCATTTTTTTTTTTTTTTTTTTAATCACATAAGCACTGACAAAGTTGGTAGCCTTCAACAGATGATTCAAGATAGTGCCTCACCCAAGGGACCTGAGACAGTACAAAGGTAGTGCACAGTGGGGTAATTAAGGCCAATGCCTCTGCCGCTCAGTAAGTAACACACAGCTTACTAAATAGTTACTGGTATGTAACGAAGAAATGGAAGAGGATAAACTTCTCTTTTCAATAAATAAATTAAAAACCTAAATCTGTAAATCTCCACATCCTCATTATCATGCCAAAGCAAACACATCCTGCTGCTCTAACTTGCTGGAACTCCAAAATGTGTATTCAGCATTGCACAGAGCATTTTATCAAAAACAGTAGCAATTCTGTGCTTTACAGACACTCCAACTTCAAGGCAGTTGTTTGATTATCTGTCATGTAACTGGAACAATGAGTTTCTCAGCTATCACTCTCTCTAAAAAAATCCAGCACAAATGCCACAGAATCCCAGGCAGACAGGAATAGGGCTTAAGAATAAAAGGAACACACAGAGTCCAATATATTAAGCATACATATTTACTTAATCTATACAGAATTGAGTAGATAAAATTTCAGATTCACATTAGTGAAAAATCTCTACAAAATGTTTTTGAAAAGCAAAACAAGACTGCCTGTTCATTTATCAATTTTTTCCTCATGAAAGCAGACATGGGTTGTAAAAATAAAGCAGTGTGTTTAGCACAAACTAGATTTCTGCATCACTTTTTTCACAGTTATTTCCATCTACAGTCTGAAGAGGTAGATTTTCTGCAACACCTGAGAATTGAACTGTAACATAACCAGGTGTAAGTGAAATAAAGGAAGGACAACACAGATTGGAGATACAGCCCTAAAGTCAATGTGTACATTATTACATGTTTGGGTCTTGCAACACACAAATTTTAAAATTTTCTTTTTCTGCAGGTTTAATGGGAGTAAAATGATCAAGAGTCCAGTGCCTGATTAAGTAGGTGTATACATCAGAGGCTACATACATTTACAGTCCAGATTAGAATAATTTATGGTAGAGGAAGAAAGGCAATATACGCGTTTACCCAAACCCCTCCTGGAACCAATCTGGCTGCAGAGTGGCAGTGCAATAGCCTGCTGTATGGCAGATCAGAGTTTCGAGTGCTGGGATTATTCCTTGCCTTCTTTATAGCAACAACCCTTTGGCTAATGCATGGAATGATTTTATCTGGTCTCAGGAAGCAGAATCTAGCCCACCTTGGCCAGAAGGAAGGTTGTCACAATGTGGGAATCTTCTGGGTGAGACAGATGGAAAAACATCTCAGATTCTTAAAAGCATTTTTCTGGTGGCATTTTGCTTCATTTGCAAATCAAGTCAGTAACTATCCTGTATTTGTATTGCTGTTCCATTCATCTGAGATTTGTCAAGCCCTTTTAAAAAATGATACTTGCAACAGGGTCCACAGTTTACTTTTGCCTATATAAAGAGCACTGCACAAGCACGGTACAAAGAGTTGTGGTTATAGATACAAGCGACCAAATAATACATTGTGAAAAACAGAAAACTGCACTTCCCATTTTACTGGCAAAATCTGTATCTGCTTTGCCAAGCATATGTTGTGCTGTAATTTAATACATTGAGATTTTCACTTGCCCTCAAGAAAATTGTTTCATGCTCATGTAGTTTGTTAGCTAAAGGTCTCTTTTGGCACTAACTAAAACTTACTAGATCGTTCTCGACTCCACAACAGACACGTTTTGTCAAAGGAACTCTGAAAGGATATTTCTTTTACAGCATTTTTGTTGCCACGTGGCGATTACGTGATTAGTGTTTAGCTTTGGTTAGCTTCGAATCCAACCTTGCTGACTGCTCCCTTCTACCTTCTTTTCATTACTGCACCGTGACCAAAGACAGGCTGTGCAAATATGGGAGTGGGAGGGGGGACCCCTAAATCCCACCCCCACCAGCCCCCCCAAACAGCCTGTTCTCTATTTAGGCTACTCATCTGCTACACAATTTTTAAAATGTCAGTTTGATACCATTTTGTTCAGTGGTACGAGCTAAAACATTTATCATCACACCTTATAAAACCTCACTCTGTTAAGGAGACATCTACATTATTTCAATGTACATTACATCAGGAAAAGGGTCAAGAGCTCAGTGCAGCCTGAACATTCAAGTAATTTAGCCAATAAACTGTCAAAAAGAACAAGGGGGAAGCTCATGGAAAGATACGTGCTTGGTTCAGAAACCCCCACTCAAGTAAGTGCAAAGAACATTTTGAGTACCAGAAAAGGCTACACACTTTTTTTTCTTTTTAAAGAATTACAAGACAGCAACTGAAACAAGAAAGCAATCATAGATGGATTAAAGTTAACAGTAGCTGGTGGTTACTTAACACATTGCCTGCTGTGCCAAGAATGTGTTGGTCCCAAGTTGTCTTAGAAAACTGCTCCCTTAAAATTTCTGATATCCACATTTTCAATGTTAAAACTCATAAGGCTCATAACTGCAGTCTATTAAAATTTTTTTTAAAAGAAACCTCCTTCCCCACCCCCGTTCCCCCCCAAAACCTCCCCTCTGCTTGTGGCATGTTTAGCTTTAGATGGAAGTTTTAAAGAACCAGACTTCACCAAGTCATCCTAGGCACCAAGAAGGCACGATCTGCTGACTAGAGTTCCTTGGCTGAGGGTCCAACACGATAAATGTTTTACTCGGGGAAAGGAATATTTGAATACACATGGTCAGTTACCAGCATTGTCTACTAATTATTATATTCTGCATACAGTGCTAAGTGAGGAACATTCAAACCAAAAACTTACACGGGGGTGCGTCTACACGAGACGGTAATGTGCAGTGGTTACTGTGCAGTAGCGCCAGTAACTGCCTTCTAAGTGACGATACTGTGCAGTAGCCTAATAATAACACACAGTAGTGTATTATCACTTAGTGCTGTGACGTGCTACTGTGCAGTATTATTTGGCAACTGTGTTTCATGTAGACATGCCCCAGATGTAGTCAACATCAACACTGTCCACAAATTTGCAGATACCCTTTGGTTAACAAGTATCCAGATTATATCAATGCAACTTCTCTCATTGGAAACAAATCTTGCTTGGACTCACCAAGGGCCAAGGCCTTATGTCAGGAGGGCAGATATAACCAAGTCTTATGCATAATTAGCATTACTGAACAAAATTCTGCAGTTTTGTAATACTTATTCCACATATTTTCTTCATAGGTTTAAATTCACAAATAGGGCCTTGAACTGACCTTACAGCACAACCCTGAGAAATCTGCAAAATAGTTGTACACCCTGTTTTACCAACTGCAAATTAAAATATAGATATTTCAAAGCTGTTGTTGTCATGCCACAGTTAACACTAAAACCCTGTAAAATATTTTGACCACATTCTGGATCCTTATTTTCATATATACTCACATATATGAAAATACCAGGGGAGAAAGCTGAAGTTTGCTACTGGCCATTATATGAATGGATGTAGACAGTTTACTGAATTTGGTAATAATATTAGTATATACCAAGCCTCAAGCTCAGTTAACAGAAGCAAAATGTTATTTTTCAAATCAAGGAAGTGACACTCCTGTCACTTTTCCCCCTGAAGCTATGTTAAATCTGTACACAAGTCTTAGTTGACAGTGATATTTTTTGTGTTGTAGGGGAAAAAACACACATGCATTCTTTATGGAAAAATATTTTTTTAAAAATGAGGCAGATGTGCAACACAGTTGTGGGAAATTTATAGATTAAGCTATTCAAAGCTGCTATGCAGCTTCCTGTACCACATAAGTCCAGTAGTTCTAAGAAAATACAGATATGGTAGAAAAAGTAAGAAAATTTTCACCACAAAACCAATAGTTACCACCACCAGAGAAAGTTATACACAAAATATATCTCTCAATACAGTGTTTACACTTCATTTTAGTCAACAGAATCAGTGCCAGGAACAGGACTCGTGGAGACAGTCTTTTCAGGGACATGTCCTTCAACTGCTGCACTCGATTCAGCATCTGGCTGGACTTCTGGTTCTGTGTCAGTGCAAGTTCCCAGCTCCTCCTGGGAACTGAGTGTGCATGACTGAAACACCTGCACTGCTAGATCCACATCTGCATCTCTTACCAAAACCTGTTCCTTAAGGACTTCCACCTTCTCATTCAGCTCATTTCTCTCTGTCTGGAGAGCCCTGCATAACTTCTCCAAACGCTCCAGCTTTATTTGAAAGCCTTTGTAATCTTTGTCTCTTACTGTTTTCTGAGGGATAAAAGTAAAACACAGGCCTTATATCATCAAGTTAGGTGATTATTTTGCAAGCATATTTCACATTAAAATGCATTAAGGTTGACCTTCTTAGAGATTAAATCCGGTTTAATTCACTGAAATGGTGATCCAGACTTTGTAGCGCAAACTCTCTCAGGCTATCTGGTCAGAACAGGAACCTTGGGAAGGGGTAACAAGCCATTCTGTTGACCCTGACAATAAGTGCTATATCACTGCCAATTCTGAACAAGAGCTTAACTGAGATTAAATCAGTAAAAAAATTAATTCTTCCTGGAGACCATGGTTACAAGAGTTGGGTTTAGAATCTCTTGGAATCCAGCCAATTGTATAGTGACTTTTTAAGAAAAATTAAGTTTCACAGGGACATGCATCATGGCAGTTTTTCCATATATAAAATGTTTCAAGAGAAAAGACTACCTACCAATGGCCATAGCTGAACCCACACCAACTCCCATCAGTAGCTGAGCAAGTTTTATAACTATTTTAAGAGTTCTTAATATATATTTCAGCAAAAAAGGGTAGAAAATGGGAGGGTGCAACCAGTCACAATGACTAGGGCCCAGAAAATTTTAGTGCCTTACAAACATACTGGCAATCTCAAAAGGAGGCAGACAAGATGCGTTTCCCCCCTACCCCTCAGTAATTCTTCCTGTTTTATCGTGCAGTACTGACCTGGAACTGTTATACCACTGCCTACGTTTTGTTTGACAGATTGATACCAATCTTGCATCTTCTACAGCACTAAATATACTTAAGTGTTTCCAATCTTGCTACACCATTCCACCTAATATGCAAAAGGCAAGGTAAAGTTCTAAGTTTCTTCATGCACTTGCTTGACTTGGGTAGGTAGGTACATAAAGGTCAGTCAAGTGTCATGAATAGCAGTTACGGAAAATCAACTCACTCTCGTACACCAAGGAGAATAATGGTATTTTTACTCAGAGAAAGCTTTTTACAGGAAGAGACTAACCAAGGTAGATCAGGGCAAAACTTTGGTATGTGCCATTTCTCAATAATCTCCAGCTATCCAGCTAGACATCCCTGATAAAGAGAGACAGCAACAACTATACATTTTCCCAAACTCCAAAGACAATTACGCACCTCTTCAGCCATTTGTAGAAGAGCTTTGTTGTTGTTTTCCCATTTTGTACGCCATACTATTGTCTCCTTTTCCAGTTTTTTAATCTTCTTGGTCATCTAAGAATAAATGTAAAGCGACGTGGCTTGTGACTACCAACAAACTGCAGGTGACCACATCATAAAACCTTTTTTTGTAAATAGCTAGCACTGCAACTTTGAAAGCAACATTACAAAATGAAATTCTTCAAGTGTTGCAAACACTGGAGCTAAGAATATATTTAAAGATCTCAAAACACCAACTAAATATTTTATGGTGGTTACCAGGTGATTTTCAACCTCCCTGACAATTACAGATAAAATTCTCCAATAACAAAAAAAAATTTGCAACACAGTACTGCACACAATCTCATCTTTAAATATTTTGTTCCATTTTTTGCTTCCAACATTAAAAAGAGTAGCAGATGTAATTCTAATATGCTACATAACACTTTCTATAGCTACAGTCTATATTTTAAAACTGCATTTACCCATCTAAGGAGCTTGCATTTTTTGTAGCACTTATCATGGAAAACTTCAAGTAGTACAAGTACCTTTTCCATTTCTTGTCTAAAAGTTGTAAAAAGTTCATTACTTTTTGCCATGGTGGTCTGGAATTCTTCAAACTTATCCATGTAGAGAGAGAGCTAATGGGGGGAAAAAAGTACTTGAGAATATTAAAAATTGAAACCATTTAAGCAATGTTACCACACATTTATCGAAATGCAGGAGAAATTTCAGCTAACAGTAGTAATTCAGAAGAATTAAATTCAAAATTAAGGAGTGAATCTTTAAGTTCTGTCTCTCATCTGTCAGGTGATTTTTCAGCTAAGGAGTAAGTAGGTGACTATCTAAAATAGAGGACTCAAACCATCCATGAACTGCCTGCTTGGATACCATTATAAAGCAACAGTAAAAATAACAGCCTTAACTGATTGCAATTATGTGACATTGAGATACCTTCCTAATAAACCAAGCTGCAATTATAAGTCTATCTAAATAAAGGCAATAGCTAAATCTTGAAAAAAAACAGCAAAATTTTATAACGGACTTACATGTATGTAAAAAATATAGCTTTTTAAACACTGTATACAATCACAAGGCAAGAGTTAAACAACCAAACTAGAAGATGATAAAAGTTGAGCTAGTGACAACTGTAATTCATATCAACCACCCTGTCTCTCAACCAGTCTTGCTACTATTTCAAACCATTTCTTAGAAACTACTACAAAACCTGATGCCAACAAAATGAACCTGGCCAAACTCAGTAACTGAGGTTTACCTATTCTTAGGAATCTGCACAGTGAATGGTATGGTAACTCAGAAGAAGTAGAGAACCAATAGGGAATTAATTTAACAAACCTTTTAATATCTTTGCTAAGTATTTAGTAGGGATGCTTAAATAAATGCATCACCTGAATTTCTAGGAAATGCAGAACCTTGATCGGGAATGCCAACCTTACATGTGTAGTGAGGTACATGATTTATGAAACTGCTATTGGGGACAGGCAAAGAAGCACATTAAGTGTGCCATAACCTTTATTAGCAACTTGTACCAATCTGAAAAGCTTCAAAGCAGTAGATAAAAATCTCTCCCAACTCAATCAGTTTGTTGCAACTGGGGCTGAATTCCTAGGTAGGTGGCTGCACGATCAGTTTAGTGCACAGGGACTGAACTCACACCATGCTCTTTCTAATTTAGCAGAAGGGTGAAACAGGAATTTATCTAGAGCACTATTTCTCAGTCAGGGATTTCAATACCTGTCTTGTTAAAATTGCACCCCCATACCTTGACACACTCTTACCCTTGAAGGCCAAATATTCTGTCAACCTCTTGAAACATGTATACAGTAACAGAGGTTTATCACTAACACAGTTTTTATTCACTTTACAGGTAGTGTCAAGGAGTGGCAAAATGTTTACTTCAAATAAGGGATTGGTAATCTGAAGAAGTTGAGAAACACAGCTCTAGATGTAGAAAAAAAATCATTCTGAAAGGTGCTGGACTTCTTCAGGAAAACTCCAGTAACTCTCAATGAATGAAGAAGACTGTATGTATGTGTACTGTACATGCTTAATATGTGTTACTTTGAGAAAAAAAATGGTTAAGGTAGACGTGAAAGGGGGCATAAACCAAAAACTGCAAGATGACTCAGAAAATCTCAGGAACTATGTTTTACATCAACAAGAGGAAGAGAGGGCAAGTTAGATGACTTCTAGATATGGATGCACTAACAACAATGTAAAAGGTCCGGAAATACAGTTAAGTACTGTGAACAAAGAAAAAGATCCAGTTTTTTGGAAGTAATATCACGATCTAGATGCAGGAGGCTATAGGGAAGAATCCATCTGAAATCCCGGTTAGAGGGCCTGAGTAACTGCAAGCATCAGCAACTTCAACAATAAAATCTTGGCTGACACTGTCGAGGACAGGTTTCCCTTGCTTTATGCTGTACATATACTCCTGAAAAACAGTGCATAACTTGAATTCGCATAAAGGGAACCCACTTTACAATGTAACAAATAGGGATATGTTCCAAGACCTCGGCTGTACTGACCCCAACCCATTTCTACTACTTTTACAAGACAATTTTGGTACTCATCAACAGCAGAGAGGGGTAGGAGATAAGCTAGTGGGACGCTTAGAAGCCGTAAAGGGAATGGCAACTACAGAAACACGC